CTTTGTATTCTATCAAAGGAGGCTTCATAGAGAAGATAACACCTGAGCAGAGTACGGGAGGGTAAGTGGGAGTTACTCAAGTGAAGAAAGAGGGGTAAGCACATTCCAGGCAGAGAAGACAATATATATATATATATATATATATATATACAGGGATGAATAAAACAGCATTATGTGTGGATGAGAATTATGAGCAGTCTTAGACAATAGAATGTAAAATGAAAGATGAAAAGTTGTGATTGAAACTAGAAAGATCATAAGCATGTGGTAAAGACAGGACATTTTGTATGTCATGTTGAAAAGCTTGGAGTATATTATACAGAGATATAAAACCAGTGGTAAGTTTTGAGTGATGGAGTTCAGGATACACTACCCCAAAATATGGCACCTTGTCATTTGAGAAAGCAGTAGAAGCAGGAAGGTAACTCTTACATTCCCCTCACTGTTCTCCCCCGAAAGCAGGTCATAAAATTCATTTGACAGGTGCTCTGTCTGTCCCCTGAGGAAGTGAACATCTGTCTATCTCTAAAAACGCAAGGTCACTGACAGCAATCTAAACAAACCGGATAGCTGAGTTCTCCCCGGCTAACTATCCTTAGATCATGCTTTTTCATCTAATCATACTTCTTTATGACTTACTACTTCTCTATAAAACCTAGCATAAAAATGCACAAATTTTCCTATTTCTTTGTGTTTTCCTTTCCCTATGTAAAACTTACATTAAATAAACTTTTATGCTTTTCTCTTGTTAGTTTATGTCTTGTTACAAGGACTTCAGCCACAAACCTAAGCTGGGAAGAAAAGATAATTACTTTCTCCTATATGAGCAAGGAAACAAAAAAGACACATCTGTATTTAGGATACATTATTCAATAGCAAGGTCATCTTCTCCCCTCAGCACCTTCTTCAAGTAATGTGATGTCACCATTTCTTGTGTGCTTTGAAAAAAGTTTCAGCTTGCTGTCTCCTTCAGTGTTTTAAAGAAGTGTTATACAAAGCATTGTTTGCAAAATGTAGGGGGACAATAGAATCCACTTTAATTTGGAATTTTGTGTGAGCTATGATCCAAGTTATTGGTTCTTTCCAATTAAAAAAAATTGTTAAAAGTATCTTACCTAGAAAATTTTAAGTATTTATGTCTGCAACAATTGTCTCAACATAATAAACTGTGTAATTCTTGTCAGAAAAAAAATCTGAATTCTCTCTAAAAAATAGCAAGATGAAAAGTGGATTTAGAGGCATGTGGCATAAATCTAGGGCAAGGGAATAAACTGGGATGTTACTGCAATATTTAAATATGAGATGATGAAAACCTAATTGAGTGAAGAGTTGTTCTAGGAGAAGAGGACACGTGGTTAGGAAGATTTGGCAATCAAAGCATTAGGGTTGATAAGAGACTGGATTTGGGTGGCCATATCCACTCGGAGAATGGAAAAGCAGGCTTATTGTTAATCGGGGCACAATGGTGAAATGATGAGGTTTGGATATACTGGGCTGAAATAAGTGAGAACTAACCAAGTGGAGATATCTTGCAAGTAGTTATATTCATGATCCTCAAACTGAGGAAAAGAATACAAGCTGGGCTGTACAACTGGGAATTCACAGCATGCAGGTAATAATTAAAACCATCAAAGTAGATGACATCACTTGGAGAGACTGTGTAAAGGGAAAAGCACAATGAGCTAGTGATGGAACCCTGGGAAACATCCGTTTTTAATGATCTAGATTAAGCCAAAGAGGCAACAGCAGCAACAACAAAAACACTCAGAAGTGGTGTTTGCGTAGATAAGAGAAACCTGTGTTATTATGGCTGGCACAGGAGAAGACTTCAGGAGACTGTTGAGCATCAAGCTCATTACATTGTGCAGAAATGTTTGTAAAGTAAGGACTGACAAGGGGCTATTAGTTTGGCCATGTGGCAGCCACAGATGTCTTCTGCTAAAATATTTCTGACAGCATGGTAAGGGCGGGAGGAAAATTGCTTTGATAAGAGCAAGGAAGATAAAAGAAAGATTTATTACTCAAGAAAGTTGATCGGAAAGAAGGATGAGATGGAATTAACAGTGCAAAGATTTGGATTTGTGTTTACACTATAAATAGGACATCTTTGAGATAACACAGAGTATATAAAGATGTGTGCACCTTTTATATGAGGCAGACCAATAGCCTATTAGTCATTCCTCAGTCTTCCTTAGCTTATGATGTTAATAATTCCGAAAGAGCTACTTCCTCTTTCAGGTACCTTCTTAACTTTTTTGTAAAGTGATCTTTAACTCACGTTTCAAGATTAAACTTTCCCAGGTTCTCCAGGCTTAGTTTTGGCCCCTACCCTTCCATAACACTTTGTTTATTCCTCACCTGTAACACCAAGAGCACTGTTGCTACCTGGTTCCATGCTTTTCTTCTGCAAGATTATATATTTCTTAGGAACTTAGACTATATCTTTGTATTCCTAATCCAAATTACACTTTCTGACACAAGCTAAGGTCTAAATTTATTAATCAGCCCTTGAAAATCTCAAAGACATCTCCGATATTTTCTGTAACTAAACTATTGATCTTTACGAAATAATCTTTCTAGTCTTCAAAAAAGAAAGTTTGGCAACTCCCTTATACCTTCATCATCCAGTTTATCTGCATGTCGTGTTGATTTTACTTCAAAGTATACCTCAAATCTTCCAATGCACTATTTAGTTCAAGACAATAAGAATTCTTGTCTACAGTTTGCCAAGTTGTCTTTCTGTCTCCACTTTCTATCCTTTCCCAAATTATTTTTGTTAACAGTAACCAGAATGATATTTAAAAATATACTTATAATCATGTATTTTTTTCTTATATTAAAATCCTGCAGTGATTTCTCATTGTCTATATAATAAAACGCTCAAATCCTGAACATGTTCCCCTAGGCTTCATAGGTTCTTGCCCCTGCTACATTTTTTTTTTTAACCTCTTCTGACACCATTTTCCTACCTGCCTACCCATATAGAGACATTCACGTGCTGTTTTCCCAGACAGAAATCTCTTCTTAGTCATTATTGGCTAAATATTTATATTTATCATTTAGGTCTGAGCTAATTTTTACTTCTTCAGAGAGAAATTTTATGGCCACAAATTTAAATTATGACCCCCCTAATATTTCCATTTTTTAAATTCCTATTCTTTGACTTGATATACAATTTGTCAGTGAGGTACACAAATAGCCCATTAGCAAACAAATAGCTGACCAGCCATGTGCATGTGTTGTTTTATGTCTCATTCCCCACAAGATGATGAGATATATAAGGACTAGGATGGAGGGAACAACTGACGCAGGAACCACTGCCATTTTTTCACCTCATTTTCTCTGGTATCTAACATTATAATTGAAATAGTAATAATATTTATCTGTTGAAATAATGAAAGAACAGATTGTGTTCATTCTTAGTAGCATAAACTTACAAAGCATGGTGCAAAAAGTTACATCTGTATATTCATTCTCAAGGTGTTTAGCCATGCAAGTTAGTTCATGATGCAAGACAACTTTTCATTTTCACAATAATCCAGTTGGAAATTAGAAAAACAGGTAAAGAAATAGAATAAGGAAAAGATCAGCAATACTGCTTTCCTCACCCTCCTTCAAGAAAACCAATCATAGTATTTTTTTTTCTTTTTGACATTTTTACTGTGTGTGTGCACATAGGCACACTCTAGTTCATCTATTCAACAAAATTTATTGAAGGCTTTGTGTTTAGCACTGAGTCAGCTCTGGGGAAAACAGGATGAATAAGAACATCAGAAAGCTCAGAGCCTAATGGCAAAAACAGGATTCAGATGTTATCACAAGGCACTTTGGTGTTTTATTAAATCAGATTTTTTTTTTTTAAGAAAAGGAAAAGTCTTCTGTATACATATCAATCATTATAAAAAAAAAGTGAGGTGTCTTGAAAGATCCAGGATCATGGAATTTTTTATAACCAGACTTTTGAAATAAGTGAATACAACTACTATGAATAAAATCATTTGTCTTGGGAGAGACGGAATCTAACACTGATGACCTTATGAGCTAGCCTTTAGAAGTTTTGTGCTAAATCCATCTAAATTCTAAAACCACTAGACAACCTGACATACCACATGGTGGGCCCTCTGCCTGCAAGCTTTCTTCCTCTTTCCCTTGCAGACTCAGCTCATGGGTGCTGTCCTCATGCTCCCGTGTATACAAATCTATGTCCTTTTATTATATTATCGTATTTTAACGTATTGCCTTCTTTATTAATCTGTAAACTTTATTAAGATAGATGTAGTATTTTTATTTCTATATTTTTAGTGGTAGGCAAATAAGCATGAGTGAATAAATATTTATCAAAGAAAAATTTGAAGACAGTATGAAAGGTATTTTCTGTTTTTATATTGTAAAAATTAGAAAGGACTATAAAATGTAGACTAGAAAACACAATGGCATATTCTTTAACATCTTTGGCACAAAGAACCAAAACAAAACAAAAAATAATGTAAAATCAAGTCTTGCCCTGTGCCAACAATACTTGAAAACTTATTAGTTGGAGCCTCCTGATTTCAATCAATGAAAACAATTAAGATAAGTAAAGAACTTTAGATGACATTCTGCCCAACTGGGTGCTACATTTTTTGTTCTTGGACATGTCATGACATATTTTCATCACTTCCTGGCTAAAATTTCTTTCTCTTCCCCCAAAATGACACACTTAACTGGGAACCTACTTAGGAACTTCTGAGAATGTCCCGGGAATGAAGGAAGAATGCCCAATAGACAAGCTAGGAATTCTGTTTTAATTTTGGAATGAGGATGGGCATATAGGCAGATCTCTCCTGGAGATTTGAAGATTTTAATAAGTAGCTCAGACTTTGCGAAGGCTTGTGTTCACAAAGAAATTCTTTGTTTCATAAATAAGACTTCCCAAGATAAGTAACACGTGGAGATGTGACCACCCCCATGCCTGTGTCTTTTTTCAGTTAATTTATATGTGTAAGATTGTGATAGATTACCTGTGAGATCATCAGTGGGCCAAGACCCCAGCTGGCATGCCTTGCAGGTGTACTCATCAAAGACATACTCATTCTCCTTACAAGGTGTACAGGTCCAACAACAGCTGACTTCTCCCTTTCGTATCACCTAAGACAAATATTTGAAATTTAGATTATTTTTTTTGCATAGATAAAAATCCAACAATTCCATATTCCAATATGCTGTTTCACAAAGAAGAAAGGGCTTTTGCTTATATTATTTGAAATTCTATCAGATAAGCGGTATAATTTTTAGGATTCTTAATTTTTAATTAAACTGAGGCTGAGCTTAAACAATGAGTCTAACATCATAGAGTTAGTTGGTGGCAGGGTAGGAATTAAAATTAAATGCAAGTCTTTGGATAATTAGCCTTGGATACCTGTATTTAATTAAGTAGCTATGCTTATGCTCATATGTGCGTACACGTAACTGAATTTGCCCCAGGATCTGGTCTGATTCTTCTTTCCTCAAGTTAAGAACTTCTGTTCTCAGGATTTATCAAGGCTTCCTTCCCTCCATTAGTTGAATAATTATGAGAAAAAAAAACACTGTATATTTCCTAATGTTCTAAAATCTATCCATGTTGATAAAAATAATTAGGAATTTGTTTTGGGTAGAACAAGGCAAAAGATGAAGGTTTTTCCTGGAGAATATCTCTTGATCTCTTTCTACCAAAACTCTGGTTCAACAATTCAACTCATTATTTCCTACTCCAGTAGCTTTCTTTTGTTTGAAGGTAGATGAGGTCATTGAGACTATTATATACCTCTTAATCTACCTGACTTTTTTAGGGTAATGGAAAATAATTGAAGTAATTTAACAGTTGAAAGAGTCACAGACGTTATTCTTTCAAAATAGATGTACCTTTTCTCCCCTATCATTGGTGCATGAAAACCCTCTGTGGAATAGACAGCATTCATTAAATGTTCTTTTAAATAATTAAAACTCTGATTAATACTCAGCAATAACGAGACATAGTAATGATTACACTTTATATTCCTAATCTTAGATACTGACTCTAGTAATGCCCTTTGATAATTACATCAGCTAGATACATATAGCCAAATATAATTGTAAGCTGACAACTGTTTTTTTTTTTTTTTTTTTTTTTTTTTTAACATTTTGTAGTATTTCTTGTACTGACTCTTAAAACGACAACAATACAAGTAGGGAATAAGGGCCTGAAATATCTTTTCCCTAAAGTAACTAAATAAGTGAGACAAAATTGCTCCTTGGGCCTGATTAAAGTATTCTTCATAATAATTTCAACTATTTCCAGGCCCTTTAGTACATGTCACATACTGTTATCCCATTAAAACACTAGAATGGCTCTCTGTGAAGTAGCTGGTTTATTTTATTCATTTTCTTGGGGGAGAAAACTAAGGTATAGTTAACTCACATAGCATGTTAGGGTAAATGAGGGATCAAACAATATGCGTTGGACTTCAAAGGCTCGTGCTTATACATAGTGAGTCTTATTGGAAGATAGACTGTGTGATATTTTGAAAGAGGCAGGGGTAGGAGTGCTGGCTTGGGAATCAAGTGGCAGCGGGTTCTAGTCTTACTTATAGCCACTCAATAGTTGTGCAGCCTTGAACGGTCCTCCAGCTAGTGCTCAGTTTCTTTTAATTGGACCTATTACTTTTACCATAATAATATCTACCTTATAGGATTTTCTTAGGATTATATAAAATATCAGTGATTTGTAAAGTATAGAACACTGTAATAATGTTATCCATTTCATTAATAATATGCTCATATGCCCATAGACAGAAATAAAGAATTTCATTTTCAAGGCATACCACACTTGGCAAAATGATCCTTGAACAATTATTAGATTTTGTAATGCACACAGGCATATTGCAAAGCTGAAGTCTCTTTCAGACCTTAGCAGGGATTGGCAAATAAAAGCAGCTGTATTTCCCTCTGCTAGAAATCTGTTGACTTCTTGTGCTTCAGTTTTCATTGGTTTGTGAATTTCAGGCTTTTATTAAAATAAGTTCATGCCCTTTTCCAAGAAAAATTCCAATATTACAATCTCTTTTTGAATCAATAGTGACAACTTAATATGGCTTCTTTTGATTATTTAGAATTTATTGTTTTACGTTTTCACATTTTATGCTCTGTTTCACATTTCTTTTGAACACAAGGTAGTGACAATTCTCTTTCATGGCAATTTAATATCTTGGAAGTAGTGGTGCTTTCTTTTTTATTTATTTTATTTTTTGAGACAGAATCTTGCTTTGTTGCCCAGGCGGGAGTGCAGTGGCACCATCTTGGCTCACTGAAGTCTTGACTTCCCCAGCTCAAGAGAACCTCTCACCTCAGCTTCCTAAGTAGCTGGGACTACAGACGTGTGCCACCATGCCCAGTTATTTTTGTTTCTTGTTTTTTTTTTTTTTTTTTTTTTTTTTTCTTTTGTAGAGATGGGTTCTCACTAAGTTGCCTAGACTGATCTTGAACTCCTGAGCTCAAGGGAGTCTCCCACCTCAGCCTTCCAAAACTTTGGGATTATACTCATGAGCCACTGCACCCAGCCATCAGTGCTTTCTTTATGAATAACAATATATAACGTATCTGAACCTTTGCTAGACTAAATCCTTTCATGGAAACTAAGTTTACAAACTCTGCACAATGCCATGAGATGTTGATATTATGAATGAAATTGCTCAGTTACAACCTTAAACCATATTAAGAAAATCTTGTAAATTGTATATTTAACAGAGTGAAAATGATATCGGGTTAGGACAATGGGGTTTGGGATTTTTATAAAAGGACTAAACAAATATTATTACAAAATAACCAGAATTAAAAATATGATAGGGAATCAAATTCTTCTGTTACATAAATTATTCCCTGTAGAATAGGGTAGAAAAGTATATATAAAGAAATCTCTGAAATCAGTCATTCAGCATTTGGAAGTTACATTTCAAAAGGTATTGCTGTGAAGGATCAAAAATGAACAAAAATTATATGGTAATTTGTACTGTGTAATCTTTCTACAGGAAGCATTGGAAATTATGAATATTGATATTCTGGGTGGGTATATAAATAATTGTACGTGAATTTAAACCTCTCACATAAAGAGTTTAACTGAAAGATAATTGGCCAAGATGCAAACAAACTTCTTTTGTCTTGATATAATAAGTGTTAGCCAATGTTTTTTTGTGTGCAAAAGACCAAATAATAAATATTTAGGCTTTGGGCCATACAGTCTCTATTGAAACTCAGCAACTCAGTTAGCCATCTCTGCCACTATAGCAGGAAAGTAGCCATGGCCAATATATAAACAAATGAGTCTGGCTCTATTTTAATAAAACTTTATTTACACAAACAGGCAGTAGTTCAGATTTAGTCTGTGGGCCATAGTTTACCAGCTCTTGCTATATACCATAAAAAGACGTACAGAAAATTTCAGATACCTAATGTTTTGAGATATCTGGCAGATACTAATACATTTATTTTTATCTTCATTTACTTTATCTTTCTTTTTTCTGGTCTTATGGTTTCCAAATTTTCAGGCCTACCCTTTGCGGGCCTTACTATCAGTACTGAAATATTGCAGCTTCACTCTTAATCACAGATGAACAAACACATGATATGTCTTCTAAACAGAATGAAGGTAAGGTTGGTTGAAAAGACTAACTCTAACCGCTCTGAGAATACACTACCCGAAATGTGGTATTCAAGAACTGTTTTATGAGCAAGTAAGTTATTTTGATATCATTTTTCCTTACGGCATTGCACACCAATGCTGCCCTCTCCCCATTTTTATTATATCTTTGTCTTCTTTTCCTTCATTGAATGTTTGTTTTCTGTAAGTGTGGTCAGATCTTCTTTAGCCTAAGAGTAATTTTTTTAATGACCTCATATTACTGAATTATCCCTTACATAGTTTTCACCACATACTTCTTTGTCTTACACTTTTTTTTTCAATTGATGCATGATAATAGGTATGTACACATAATAATACATATTTATTGGGTACATAGTGACGTTTTGATACACATAATGTATAGTGATCAGGGTAATTAGCATAGCCATCATGTCAAAAATTTATTATTTCTTTATGTTAGGAATGTTCCATATCCTCCTTTTAGCTATTTGAAACTATAGATTACTGTTAACTATATTCATCCTACTGTGATAAAGAACACTAGAATTTATTCCACCTACCTAGCTCTGATTCTGCTTCCTTTAACAAAGCTCTCCCTATCCCTCCTTTTCTCCTTACCTTCCCACCTTCTAGTATTCTCTGTTCTAATTTTTACTTCTGTGAGATCAACATTTTATATCTTGCATATTTAAGTGAGAACATGTGACATTTAATTTTCTGTCCTTGGCTTATCACTTAACATTCTGTTCTCCAGTTCCAAACATGTTGCTGTGAGTGACAGGATTTCGTTCTTTTTTATGGTTAAGTAGTATACTATTATGTAGATAGAGTATATTTTCGTTATTTATCTTGATACTCAATTGCCATTATATTCTGTTCAACCTGGCAGGCCCAGATGAAGGGCGAACCCTCAGTTCTCATGTCTTTCTCTCATTGTTCCTCTTCTTTGACCTTTCTCTTCTGCTGACTACCATCGTATATGACAGTGAGCTCCCTGCTTGTCTCTCTCTGCACGTGTTGCTGCTCAGCCTCTACCTCTTCCTTTTTTACACTTTGAAAGCAGAAATTCTCCAAGGTATATTCTTGATCCATATTTGTTTTTTATTTACACTTTCAAGTTCTGCAATTTTATGTATGCTAATAGCTTCAACTTTAACTTCATTCGATCAATTCCTAAATCTGTATTGTTAGCCTTATTTTTCATTGCCGTAGACCAGACTTTTAATCACTGGATGGCTATGCCAAAACCAACATTCCCCCAAACTAACCCATTACCTTTTCTCTAAATCCAAACCCATTTTTCTATTCCTGGCAATGCCACCTTTTAGTTACTAACACTTAGAATTGAAGTTGATCGTGCTGACTTTTACGCAACTTGACATCAAATTGGTAGTCAGCCTGATTGAATCAATGTCTGTGATGTTTTCTCCAAATATGTCTTCTGGCCCCTTTTCATTCTCACTGTTTCTTCCCTAATTCAAGGCCTTGTTACCATGGTATCACAGCATCCTTCTAACTTGTCTCTTTTTTCTTGTGTTATAACTCTATTCATCTTCCTTACCACAGCTCAACTTAACGCCGACATCTTGGTCAGAATTATTCTCTGACTTCTGTTTAATGAAAATTAAGTGCAGTGTATTTAGTATGATGTTAAAAACTCTCCACAAATCCGGGTTCAACTTATTTCAACTTTCTCTTTTATAATAACCATGTAGAGCAATGCACCTAGATTATTCACTTGTTGCTGGGCAATTTTCGGTTGACCACTTTTGTCTCTTTTCTTTTATTGTTCTATGTAAATGTTTTCTCCCTGAAATCATGCTCATTTTTTTATGGTCCAATGTTTGACATTTTATTCAGAAGAAATCCCTCTATCCTTTTTGTGCAAACTTATATAGACCTCATCTTTTCTTTCTTAATGAAGTCATCACATTTCACATGATGCTGCGTCTCAGTGTCCATATTTTTCCTCACTTAGACTGTAAATCTTCTGATAATAAAGGGTGTCCCATTTATTTTTGCCTCATCAATATTAACTATTAATTTCTATTAATCGTCCCTCTTACTCTTAATTTATGCCTGATTATTTTTCTTTGAACCCATAAGCCACAACAAGGTTTTAGCTGTTCTTTTCTAATGGATGGGTACCATATCCTTTTAATCAGCTTGATAAGGTACCCAGGCCTATCCAAATAATGAAATGGTTCGGTTGTTATTAAAGCATGCCCAGTATTTGGGCAAAATCAGAATCCAATAAATTACACTGTCATCTAATACCTATGGCTTGATGGGAAGCCATGAGGAATAAGGGTAAAGTGATAAAGCTGGTAAGTAAATTAAGGAATAAAAGCCAGAAGAATTCTGAGAACAGAGGGCAAGAAACATCTAGTTAGTATTCAAGGATGGAACTGAAGTTCAAATCAAAAAGGGATGTTGCTTCAAGGATCAGGAGCTGAACTGGCTATCAGAGCCCCTAGTGCATGGTGATCCAATGAAGGGCAGTTCGAGATAAACATTGGGTTAAGCAAGAAAAACCAGGACCTAGAAATATTCTAGGTGTTCACAGTAATTAAATAAAAACAAGAGAGACCACGTGGCTTTAAATTTCCTAGCTTAATATGTTCCAGGATTCCCAGTACAGAAAGAATCTCTGGAAATTAAGGTGAGGAGAAAATGCCACTCTGAAGTTCCTGTGCTGTGTAGAATGTTTCCCAGAGAAATAATATCTGTGAAATCCAGCAGAGTTAGCTGGCCAGGGGCTACATCAAGTTCTTCAGTTCCCTCAAAACAACTTAACCACTTACAATGTGTCTTAAAAGGAAACCTCCAAGCCGCTAAAACAAACTTTCAACTGAGATTCAGTTTAACAAACATGCTATACTGTGGCTTTAGGAACTAGGCCACTGACTACCTAAAAACCCAGCTTGCCCACTTGAAGTTAACCTCTAGAAACATTAGTGATCTGTGAAGTTTTCACGATTAAAACAGTGCTTTATCATGCAAATCATACTTGTTCTTCTCTTTGCTCTCCAGTTACGAATTTATTACCTTCCTGCATTTGATTATTTCCAGTGATATTTTGTTGTTGTTGTTTTTGACATACTCTTCAGTAATGCAAATTTGTGCCTCCTACTCCCTTAAGTCCTTCTTGGTAAATAATGTTAATCTTCCAATAGGAAGAAGTGGAATGCATTATCATTTAAGAACTATTTATCCAGCATTCTTACAAAGAAAGCTATGGAGCCACCTTATATATTTGAAATTCTCTAAAGACCCCAGCTTTCTATTAAAATATACTTTTATATATATTTTCTGTGAAGAATTCACTGAAGCATGAATCACCTTATAATGAGAAGCTAAAAATATATCAAAACGTACATAAGTATAGGTAATCTATATCAACACACTACGTCTTCCAAATCTAGAGCATACGCTGGTGTAGACTGTATTACAACCCAGCTAAGTTTGAAATCTTGTTTTGACACACTGCTCAGTATTAAGTCTCAGTTGACAAATAATAGGACCACATGAGAAACAGTTCGGCAGTTGGCTGAGGAGACCTTAACTTCCAAAGGGTTAAAGTGGTCCTCCAGAGACTGTTACACTCCCTTAGGGCATTTATTTTAGGAAAGGACACTATTAAGGGACACTTTGAGTATAAAGGCAGGTGAAATCACAAAGTATAGCCAGATACATGCTTGAGTTTATCTTTTAATCTATAGATAATGCATTAGAATAAAAATTAATGAATTCATACACCTTTCAAAAGGAAAAACTGAGGAAGAAGTAGCAATAAAGTTATAAATGATAATGATCAGATGAAACAATTTAGTTGAAGCTTGTCTGGATCTGAAAGAGACTAGGACTCAGCAAATGGTCAAAAGGAAGCATAATGTGTCCTTACTTTGGACAAAAAATAATATTCGGTTCTATATGGCCAAACATCATTCTCTTTTTGCTACATAAATCTTTTTATTTTTAATTACTGACCAAATGCTTTACTGAAACTACTCTTCAGGCCTTTGTTTTGGGGTCTCTTACTTCATTGCCACCTCCTGATTGCTGTCCTCTCAGGCCTCCATTGCCTTCCCGCTGTCCTCTGAATCTTGTTTCCGTTCCACTGTCCCCTGAAACCTCCATATTCTTCCTGTGGTCCCTCCAGCTCTGGTTGCTCTGTGGCTACCGAGCGCTGCCAGTGTCGTGAATCGTGCCATTTCTCCTGTATTTCTGTTACTGATGCGGTAGGTGCATCAAAACAAACACCCAGCTTTCCTTTGAGGAAAACCATTCCCTTCACTTTGGAATCAGTCTTCTCACCCAGCTGCTCTTTAAGTTCTTTCCATGCATAACTAATATTTGGCATTTCACTTAAGCATCACAAGATCATGGTCACAAAACCCACATTGAAGTTGATCAAGGAGCGCTGGTCTATGAATGTGACACCTGAAACATGGGTCAGTGCTTCTGCCAGAGTTTCCCCAACTCTCTTCTCCTCTATCAGCTTCTCCACTGATGGCTTGAAGTGTCTAACGGCAGTGGGAGGCACGGAATCCAAAAGCCTGATGGCATCTTTACTGGAAGCTTTTATTATTCCTGTTGCAGAAGGAACACCATCGTTTGAACTTAATTCTTGCCTTTTGCTCTACTTGTTCTGACTGATATTCTACCTTGTGTTGGTAAAGGCAGATGTACAGCCCTGTCCTTCCAGCTCTGCCCATCCACTCGGATAGATGAATGTAGGACTCTACATCCTTTGGTGGAGAGCTTTGTATAACCAAATCAACCTCAGGGATGTCTAATGTGCGTTCAGCAACATTGATTGCTGCCAAAACTCCAAAACTACCATTTCTAAAGCCTTTCTGGGTGATTTCCCTTTTCTTCTGTGGAATGTCTCCATGCAATAGCTGGGTATCCTGCTTTATAGCCAAATTCTGGGACAGCTCCTGGGTTTCTTTCTTGGTTTTACAAAAGATGATAGTACATCCTTGATAACCACTATATACGCAGATGACATCCCCATAACTGCTGCCCTCTGAGTGTGGTGGCACTTAATAGCCAGATGCTCTGCAGTTATTGCTGTTTTCTGAGTCTTTTTACCAATCAGGTCCACCTGTTCATATGTAGATTTCATGTATTTCTTGGCAATATTAAACACCCAATGAGGGCAAGCTGCAGAAGGAAGCAATGTTTGGGGATTGTCTTCAGAATCTTTCTTGTATGCTACACTTAAAATTTCTTTCACTTGATCGGCAAATCCCATATCCAACATCTGGTCAAATTCATCCAGGACAACATGCTTGAGTTTGGTGAGATCTAGTTTGCCATTCTGTATGTGGACTTTGATACGACCTGGTGTCCCAACCAGGATATCAATCCCATTCCTCATGTGTTCAAATTGACCTCCATAAGGAGTTCCACCATAAAAACAAGCCACTGACGGCTTTTTTGTGATGTTACTGAAGTCTTTGCTTACTTGATTTGCCAACTGTCTTGTAGGCGCAAGAACCGGTACCTAAGGAGGACAAGCTCTCTTTCTGTCTTGCAGTTCCCCATGAAGTTTCTCAATGAAAGGGATGGCAAAGGAGAGTATCTTCCCAGTTCCTGCCTGTGCCTGTGCAATTAAGCCCTTCCCACTGTAACCACGATGGAATGTCTTTGCTTGTATAGGAAATAGGAAGATTCACTCCTTGGTCTTTGAGAAGCTTAATAGTTCTTCAGATGTGGGAAAATTAGAGAAAGCACCATCTTTTGGTCCCACGGGTATCTCCTGCTCTATTTCACTGTTACTTTCTTCATTGGCCCCTTCATTGGGGTTACAGTCAGATTCAGAATGAGGAAATCCATTCTTCAGTTTAGGGCTTTTTTCTGCAGCTCCTCCATTCATTTCCTTTTCTTTCTTCATCTTCTTGGGCTTAGAAGCATGTATTTCTTTCTCAGAAGGCTCCTCATTTTTTGTACCTTTTTTTGGTTTTAGAAGAAACAGCTTCCTTTTCAATGGGCTCCTTTTTCTTTCTCAAACTTTTGGTTTTAGGAGAAATACCATCTTGAGATGGCACCTCTTTCTTCTTTGCCTTTTTTGGATTTTGGATAATTCATATCAACTTCAGAAGGCTCTGCTCTCTTTCTAATATGTTTAGCTTTAGGGGAAACTGTTTCTTCCTCTTCTGCTATCTCTTCAGTCTTACCAGGTTTTGGTTTCTCTTTTAACTCTGTTTACTTTTGCAGTGTCTCTGCTTTTTCCATTGCGGTGTCTGATTCCAAACCAATGTCACTATGGAGTTTTCTGGCGTCTTCAGTGTAGGCTGCCCAGGCCAGCTACTCTTCTCAACCGTATTGAGTATTTATTAAATAAATTAGAATGAATGCCTTTTCTAACTGTGCTCTTTATTTCCAGGAACCCATGTCTTTAAAGGCTTAAGTAGAAAGGGTATGGGCAAATATGACTCATCAATTGGTTCCATCAAAACAACTACTAAGACTATTATGAGTTGCACCCGAGATTTCACAAGGAATGAGAGAATTTCTGACATTAGAAGCTTACAATATAAAAGGTGAAATAAGTGTCTAAAATTTTAGAAAATAGCCCATGATTATTAACACCGTTGACTTTACAACAAAAATGAAAGAAACATAGATGCCGTTTTACCTTGATCTGGCCTTTCTCACATGGTTCACTGCACACAGATCTTATGATGTTGCTTTTCTTGGACCATACTTCATCGTCATCCATTTTTAATTCTCCATTGTCCCAACTTCCAACATTAATGTAATCAAAATAATCTTTTCCCATTTCCTTGAAATTCATTATTTCATACCTTAGGAATAAGAACATGATATTTATTTAGATAAAGATATAAATATTCAGCTATGAAAAGGCAATACATTTTATTCCCAAAAATGTCATTGAAGTAACACTGGAATTTTCCATCACAGTACACTTAGAATAACAACAAAAAAAAATCTGCCTATTTCACTTTCTCTGCAGAGACCATTTCTGTGCTTTCAAGCTTACACCTGAAAAAGAAAGTAATCCCATGTGAGAAGGTGACTTGACCTCAGCAGGATGAAAGACAGTTTTGAAATAACTTTAAGAAGTTTAAACAAGCACTACTGTTAGGCTTCTACAAAAGATAGAAAGGTTTTTGTCTCTATTCAAGTAAAATGATAAAACTTACATTGACTAACCAAGTGAGAAATTTGGTAAATCTTTAATCTTACTTTCAGCTTTAGAGGATATAGGGGTAAATTAGTGAAGGCCTCATTTTACCTTTCTTACTGTATCCATTATCAATGGCTAAATTCATTATATAGAGATAATTTCAAGAGCGACGTTTAAAAAAGTTTGAAAATAGCTTCTAAAGCACCTCATGCAATGTAAAAATGCTGGAAGAGAGAAGTTCCTTGTGGGTTCTCAGCCTTTGCTAGCTGTTGTTTTTTGAGTATGTATATAGAAATATAAAAAGAGAAAATCAATGTGCTTACTTACAAGCCTTTTCTTATAATTAAGCTGATTTCTAGAGAAGAACCTGTGAAATAATTTTCCAATTTGAGGATATTAGATAAGCAATACTACCACTGTCTCAGTTTCTGTAGGTACGACTCAGGTACACGCTGTGTTCACATAGTATTTTATATGTTTTATCCCCTCAGGACTTAGAGTACTGACAGACAGACATATATATGGCTCCTCCAACCTCCTATGCTCAGCATGTGTAGCTATCTGGAAAACGATATGAATGGAAAATGTTCTAGCTTTTGGATTCAAGTGATGAGGTTACTATACTCAAACCAGTGTTCTGTACAGAAATACTGAGAACAAAACTGGCATCAATCTATTGAAACCTATGTTATAAAATGATGCCATTCTGTTTTGATTTCCAGTCACATTTTTTATAGTAGCTTTTTTTTTTTTTTCTAGAATATAACCTCATTCTTGTTTTGTTGGTTGTTCAGTAACTTGAGGATTTTCCTGCAGTGTTGGCAATCAGTAACAATTTGGTGTAACTGTCTAAATTCTACTTCTAAATCAAAAATATCAATTTATAGGATGCTTTCCTTCCCTCTCAGTCACAATTATCCCATGGCCTCTGTGCATGCAATGAGTTGATATATTAGAATACAGAGCACTGAGGTAAAAATAACTCATGTATTATGTCATTTGCTACTTGAAATATATGGGCTTTAAGTATTCAAAGGGTGACTTTCTATGACCAAATAACCTTTGAAGATTATAGGATGGGAGAAAGAGAAACATCAGTGTCGGACTTGTTTCTTTGCTGCCAATATGAAGAGATATGAGGGTGTCACTCCTCACTCAAAAAATGAGCTGTCAATCCCATTTCTAGCAATTTGTAACTCTGAAAAGTTTAGTTCAAATTGTTAATTTTACAGATAATGGAACTGAAGCTCAGTGAGGTTAATTAATACAAACAGATTGCAGAGTATGTCACTGTCAGAGCCAGGACCTAAACTAAGCCTTTAGATTTCAAGTCTGTGGTTCTTTCTTCTTTATTAGACTGCTCCAAATCCTGGGCACTGCTCCAAATACTGGCTAGAGCTAAGAGATTGTATTTTCCTTGCTTAAATATTGTAAAAATTTGAACCAATTTATATTTGAAGTCCTTTTTCTCTATATCCACGCCTCTTTATTTATGACAAATGGTAAAAAGTAAAAGGATCCAGAATTTTTGAAAAATAACCATGAAAACTCTTATAGATTGGAAAATGTCACATTTGTCAGGGAACTTGTTTTAAGGAAAGTTAAACCTTAATTTCAGTTCAACTCAATAAACTTGTTATAATTACATTAGCGGTAATGAACTCTCCCTTTGGAATTAGCCTTTAGATTTCTGGTTATTGTTTCTTACTACAAGACAAACACACAGAGGTATTATCACTCATGGCTATAGCTGTGAAAACAGAACATTGCTTTAAAAATCTTTTTTATAGTATCCTAAAAAAAGAAATAGGTGAGAATATATCACCACAAAAGAATATTCTGTCCTTCACTTATGAGTCGGTATGAGATAGAATATAGCTTTTATTCTCCATCAAAGGGGGAAAAAAGTGAATGCTTAAAACATATGTAACTTTTAGGTAAGAATCAAAAGACATAATGACTTCCTGCAATCTTTAGCCATGAGTCAATCTAGAAGACTGTATTTTGTTTTCTAACAAATAACAGTAATTCAGTTATCTAATTTGTTTTTGATGGCTTTAGTAAAGATCCAAGTGGCACATATTCAGTGTCAGAAGCAAAGATTAATGTGTCATTCCAGTCACAAGACAGTTTAATATAAATCTTCAGCCCAGTTTCTCTTTTTCCTTCTTCCCATTCCCTTCCTCCTATTTATCCCTTCCTCCCTTTTCTTCTTCCTCGATCCTCCTCCTCCTCCTCCTCTCCCCTCTCTCTCTCTCTCTCTCTCTCTCTCTCTCTCTCTCTCTCTCTCTCCCCCTTTCTCCTCTGGTCTTTCATTCTCATTGCACCTCTTGGTTTCTATGTTTCTCTGCTTCTGAAATGTTTTTCTCAGCATAGTGTATTTGTTTATGTAATCTGTCCTCTTTAATACCTGTCCCTTCCTTCCCCTTACTCTCTACCTTCTCATTTCTGCTCTTCCTTAACTGGCCACAATTTAAACCTACATATTCTAAATAATTTTAAAAATAAATTTTAGATATTGTTCAAAATCAAAATATATTACAACAACAAAAAGTTTTGTTAAAACACTTAAGGAAAACTTAGAGAAAGGCAGGGTTCAATTGAACAGAAATAAGGAACTTTCTAAATGGCTAAAACTCTGAAGATTCGAGCAGATTGTCTTCAGATGATAATCAGGGGTTTATTCAAGAGATTGAAACATGGTTGTTAGAGAAAGTGAAAAATCACTTGCAGGGGGCTGCAGAGCATTGCGTTGATGTGGTTCCTAAGGCTCTCTCAATTGATAATTCTGATGCTAAAGTGCTTTGGTTAAAAAAAAAAAAAGTGTAATTCTTAAACATGTGCTAAATTATCTGTGGATTGGCATAATAGATACACCCAAGCCCTGGTCCATTCAACAAAGCAATTACAATGATCTGTACCTTTAGGGTGGGATAATCACAGAGGAAAACTTTAATTTGACCAAAAACATGAATGGCACCTAATAATAGAACACTTTTATACTATATATTAATACATTGAACCATTTCAAATGTAGTATAAGAAAAAAAACTAAGGTAAAGTTTAACTTGATGATTGTGCCTGAGATTTGCATAATGTCCTTGCCCTGTTATTTAATTCACAGTGAAATGTTGGGCACGTCTCTTTCTTTCTATGACACTCAGGGGTTTTACCAGGAAAATGTGGACATTGAAACAGACCATCTGTTTCTTTATGAACCTTCTGTGAGCAGGGCCATATATTAAGAACCAGTGTACACGCAAAGTCACGATCTGCCATTTCTACTGTTCTAACATCTATTTTCTATTTACCACATATGTTGTGCTCCTCTGTTCTTTTTTTTTCCTGCCTTATTTTGGGTTAATCTTTCTTTTTTTTTTTGTATCTCTATTTTAAATACTCTTCTTTGTATTAAAATTTTGGTGGTTGCTTAAGGGATTACAATATGTATTTTTATTCTACTTAAAGTTAATATTGAGTCACTTAGCGTAAAATGTAAGAAACTTGGCCTTGCGCAATTTCAAATTCTTTTTCATTTTCACCATTGTTTTAAACTATTTTGCATCCATATACTTACAAATCCCACAATATAATGTTTTAATTTATTGGTTTAATTATTCAGTTGTACTCAGTCTGACATTGGCTGTCCATGTTTCCTCCGCCTAATTATGGTCAATTCCAGGCAGCAGCCACAGCCTTAAACTTTAACTCTCAATGAAGTCCCTAAGCCAGAGATTAGCAAACTTTTGCTGTGAGGGGATGTATGGTAAATATTTTAAGTTTGGAGATGGTCTCCACTTACTTCTGCGATTGTTGTGTACAAGCAGCTATAGCACCTAAATGAATGAGTGTGACTGTGTTCCAAAAAACCTTACTTATGACAACAAGCAGGAGACTCCATGTGCCGTGCTTTGCAGATCATAGTTTGATGATTGATGATCTAGTCTGCTAATGGCAAAATAGTAAAGGTCCATATTTCTTATCTGTAATTGTAAAATCATTAAAGCTCTGAAAATTACGTTTTTTTTCCTAAGTCACTTGAGAGCAAAGCATGATAGTACCTGAACTTTATCTAGTGATGAAATCTGACTGGAACTAATGTGAGACTATTTATAGTCTTGTTTATCACAATTAAAGTGAATATTTGTATGTTTTGCTACAGAAATATTAATGTGTTTATTAAGGAGTGCTGTTACATATTATGTTAGGGACATTATGTGATTGTTTAAGCTTTTGTAAATTCAAAAATTCTGGATTCTGTAACACCTGGCACCATGTTTTTCATTACAGCATTGGGACTGATGGTAGGCTAATCAGATGTGAGATTTAAAAAAAATGATTAGAACATACTTTCCAACAGTCTGCAAGTGTGTGCTGGAGTGAGCTGCCACCTCTCTCAGCTTCCTCTGTTTAGGATCCTCCCCAGTTAACTCTGGAATTTTAGAGGATTCCTTAATCACTCAGGCTCCTTTGGTTTCTCACCCAGCCTGGAATGCCTTTGATCCAGCAGAAGGCTTCTACTCCACAAAAATAACCTAATGTCTACAGATAAATTTCTCAACATACAGTGTTTTAAAAATTTTGATCCTGGTCGACTAATTGGCAGGCTATTGTATAGGGATAGAGTTTGAAGCCCAGGAGACAGAGTAAAAATCTGGACTCTATCATTTACTAGACTGTGTCTTTGGGCAAGTCATTGAACTTTTGTTAAGCCTTGGTTTTCTTTAACTGGAAAAAAGAGTGGTAACAATTCATACCTTGTAGGATTAAAAAGTAGAGCTCTTGGCTTAGTATTTGGCTCAGAACATACAATATATGCTAGTTATATATATTTTTTGTAAATGTAACTGGACTATTGGAAGAAAGAAAAGGTTGTAAATCACCTTGCTTCATGCCCTCAGAGGCCAACTCTGATCATTTATTAATGGGTTAATGTTATACCCAAACTTAAGAGTACAAGGATACACTCACAGCAATCCTGTATTCCTAGAAATTATTTGCAAAATTTTAAGTATATTGTTATTGAAAGAATATATATACATTTTATCTGTGTCTCGAAGGGATTCATGTTCCGAAAAAGATTAAGAACCTTTTACAACATATTTGGAGGATTATGAATAAGGCAGTGATGTTTGGCCTGATCCATTAAGGTTTCCGACTGGATAGAACTGGACCTTCTGAGGCATTTCCTCCCTGTCTCGTTTGTGGAATGGGTTGGGTACCTGACATAAAAACTCTTGAACTGGTGGAGCTACAGTCATCAAATTCTATCAGCAAGTCCCAAGCTAATGTCAGTACTCTAGGGATGCACATGGGAATAACAAATTGATATGCAGATATCTGAGCCCAGGCCTTGACCGGAGCCTCAAGACTGAGCTCATCGTTCAACCTGCCCTTAAAAGATTTACAGTTGTGAAGTTTTGTTTGGCTCTGAGAAAATGCTTGTATTTTTTTCTTCATGGATATACTGAACAGCCAAAAAGTAGAACACAACATGTGAAAAGTCAGTTTATTTTGGCAAACCGCCTGGTTGTAGCAATACTTCAAGTCTGCACAATAGAAAAAAAAAATCTAGGTTTTCACTTGGCTGTATCACCTGGAACTATCACTTATAAGTCTGGCATATGAGATAGTAACAGCTGCATTTGGGATAAGCTCCAGCTCATCTCAGAATATAGAAGTGTGCTAAACCAAGGTTGCTGACAGAACGTGTGGGCACAGGTGGTGTGAATTGCTGAGGACTCATGAAACCTCTTGGCAGGGTCAACAATAGAGTGTATTGACAGCTTTCCAAGCACAGTTGTTAAGTATGAGCTATGGCTAGAAGAGCACTTAGAGACAAAGGACCCTGATTGTTTTGATGCAAGGCTGAGTAAAGACTCAGCCCTGCTACCACTCAAAATATCATTTCAGTGACATTATTCCTTATAGATTAAAAGTGTTTATAATTCTTAAATGACTGTGTACAGCCATTTAAGAATTGGGAGTAGAAGATAAATGTGAATTCTCCTAAGTCCTGGGTACTCAGTAATTTCTCTGGGAACTGACTTATAATTATGAGTTTATCTTCCTCAAGCTCCTCTATAAATAATGAAAAGTCAAATTTCAGAGAAAAGAACAATTTAGTCCCCAACAAGGGAGAAAGTGCTCCAGCTGGAGAATAATAAAATAAAATATGACTTATAACTCACTCGCTGTAGGAACAGAAAACAACGGAACAGACCCTCAGCCCCATTTCTGGATTATCAGAAATTGAATTGTTTCTGTTTCAGAATAGTTCTGTTACACAAGACAATAGCCAAATACAGGGAATAACATGACAGGCATGTACAGAGAAACCACTGAGATGATCTCTATTTATCTATGATCATGTGAGATTCCTGTCTCTCAGTTTAGGTCTCTGAAATATGATGATGATTCCCAAAGCACATTTTGGACATTAGCACCAATGCATTTTTTCCTGGTCACAGAAATGGGGCTGCTTCTTCTCTCTCTCTTTGCTCATTTGGGATGTCAGGGCAGGGGAAACTTGGCCAGGAAACCTAGATTAACCACAAAGGAGAGAAAAAGACATTTCAGGATCAAGTGTTGGCTGTTGTTCTGCCTCTACCGTCTAGAGGATAATTGTATCAATACCTTCCTGGAGAGTCTCCATTCTCGTCGAATAGGATCATATCTCCAGAAACCCCAGTAAAATTGGTTTTCATCAGGGATTCCAAAAGTTTTCGTCCATCAATTGGCTTCATTGCATCACAGAGTCCTGCAACCCCTGGGCAGAGGGACATCTGCATGTTGTGGAGCCCATAGGCCATCGAATAGATGGCGTTGATCACAAATCCCATTTTGGAATCTTGAACATGATGTGTTTTCAGAGTCAGAGAACCTGTTGGGAACAAATTAGGCACAGCTTTGAGATATAAATCTACTCTCAAGACATCCCAGGGTACTGAATAATGGGTTACCTGGAATTAGAGAATGTTCTGGAGCAATTTTATCAGAGTTAGAACCAGGGGTAATACTGAGAAACAGGTACCAACATAATGAGCCTAATAGTTATCTTCTGTATTCAGGTTTTTCTTCCAAAATGCTGAAAGAAGATCTGAATCCCCAAGAGTAGCAAGATCCACTTTCTTCCATAACCAAACTCTAGGTATGAATGCAGGATAGGACTGTATTTCTGTATCACAAAATGTTTCTTAAGGACAGATTAATTTCATTAGTATCAGCTGTCACATTATACATTTTCAGTTCAGAAATCTTCAACAAACCTCCAGTTTCTAAACTATTATGTTCTCTTACTTGGCAATATTAGATATTCCACCATCTGATATAAATTTATCTATTTAGATTTATCACCCAGTAATTCTAATCTCAAAACATATGCTCTCCATAAACTGGCCTATTTGAAAGTTATAAAATAGAATAATTTAAACTCCTTTAATTCATTATTTAATTCAGTAAACATTTATTGGAGTCAGAATATACATAAACCTCTGTAATTAATCATCTAGAGAGAAGAAAAAGATGGTTTGAACGTGGAGCTTGCACATAAGAAACTTGTCTAATAGCAGTGATCAATTATGTAAATACTGGGAAAGGCAGAAGATAATAAATCCGTAAAAGATGTGGAGCTAAAATCTACAGAGGCCCAAAGGAGTGAGAAATATGCTTTCCAATAGAAGGTCCTTGGGAATATTTCATTAAGGAACTAAAGTTTGTGATTGGTATTTGATTTGACGAATATGGACTGAGTGTCTGTGATTTCTAACTGCTCAGAACTTGCTCTGAGTGAGGGACATCATGCTGAACAAGATAGACACGATGCTTGCTCTCGTTTACTTAGAGTCTAGAGGGCAAATAAGCATCTACCTAAGCAGGCAGTTGCAATGTGTTCTGACAAGTGCTGAGACATGACTGAATGGTGACTCACATATGGAAGGTCTCTGAAGCTGAGGATTAGGTTAAGTATCAGCCGGACGAATGGGGAAAAAGAGTGCTCCATGCATTTTTGAAGAGTAACGGATGAGATAGTTATGTTTAGGAAACTTTAAGGAAATCAGAATGACCAACACAGAGAGTAGGAGGTAGGAGAAAAGAGAGAACTGAAATGGTAGAGGAAGGCAGAGATAAGCCATGTTGAGATTGCTGCATTTTGGCTGGACATGGTGGCTCATGCCTGTAATCCCAACACTTTGGGAGGCCGAGTCTAGTGGATCATCTGAGGTCAGGAGTTTGAGAACAGCCTGACCAACATGACAAAACCCTATCTCTACTAAAAATACAAAATTATCCAGGTATGGTGGTGTGCACCTGTAAGCCCAGCTACTCGGGAGGTGGAGGCAGGAGAATCTCTTGAACCCAGAAGGCAGAGGTTGCTGTGAGCAGAGATTGTGCAATTGCACTACAGCCTGGGCAGCAAAAGGGAAACTCTGTCTCAAAAAAAAAAAAAAAAAAAGAAAAGAAAAGCTGCATTTTATCATAAGACCTTTGGGACCCATTGAAATGTTTAAGCTAGGGAGGGTCATGAGAGACATGATCATATTTCTATTTTAGGAAGACCAATCTGGCTACACTGTGGAGAAAGGTTTAAACGGCTATAGTATAAAGCACTAAATGGCTGTAGGAGTATCCAAGGCCATTAAGAGGGAATATAGTCATCCCAGTGACAGGAGAAAATGTCCTTTCCTGTGGTAGAGGCCATGATTATGGACAAAAGTATCTAGGAAGTGAAATATGTTTCCTAGAATGAATAGGGTTGAGACATATAGGAAGAGTGTGGTAAAAAAGGTGAAATAAAGAGCTGAGGTAAAGCCAGAGCTTATCATTTTGGAAAAAAGTTTTAAGAAAGGTGTTTTTTTTTTTTTTTTTTTTTTTGAGATGGAGTTTCACTCTTGTTACCCAGGCTGGAGTGCAATGGCGTGATCTCGGCTCACCGCAACCTCCGCCTCCTGGGTTCAGGCAATTCTCCTGCCTCAGCCTCCTGAGTAGCTGGGATTACAGGCATGAGCCACCATGGCCAGCTAATTTTTTGTATTTTTAGTAGAGACGGGGTTTCACCATGTTGATCAGGATGGTCTCGATCTCTTGACCTCATGATCCACCCATCTCGGCCTCCCAAAGTGTTGGGATTACAGGAGTGAGCCACCGCGCCCGCCCAGAAAGGTGTTTTTTTTTGTTTTTTTTTAAAAAAAAACAAAAAAACAAAAAAACAACAATGACAACTCTCCAAAGATAGCACGGTGCTTTTTGGCTTTCCAAACTGTAGAGGCCTATTATCCCCTCTTGATTTCTGGCCCAAATACTGGCGCCTTAAATTTCTCCCAGTAGAGAGTCTCCCTAGAGAAACAGGCATAGTTCATCCTGACATAATACAAGACGGGAAATCCTGCCTCCATTTCTGGACTAGACACGGGTCCCAGGCTACACTCCAGGCAAATCTTACAGTTTCCTTCTGCACACAAAGACTGGATTTATATTTCCACATTTTACCTCACACTGATGGAAATTCCATTCTTCTAGTTGCCAAGTCAAACACTTTGGAGTCACTTTTGACTCTTTTTCCTTCATACCTTCACAACTTTTAGGTGATTTATCTTCAAAATTTATCTGGAATTAGACTATTTAGCACTAATCTACTTCTACAAGACTCAGTATATACCTTCTCCTGTCGAGATTACAGCAACAGTCTTCTGTTTTCTTCCTTTCTCCTTTTGCCCATCTTCCCTGCACCCCAGCCTGTTTGCAGCACAATAGCCTTAATAATTCCCTTAAATAGAAGTCAGATCATGACAATCCTCTGATCAAACGTTCCAGTGACTTTTTCCTATTACTAAAAGTAAAAGCCGAAGTCCTTGCAATGGCCTTCAAACACATACAGGAACCTGACTCATGGTATTTCACCCCTTATTCCTTTGACTCAATTTCTTAATACTCTTCCTTTAAATTATTACGCCCTAGACATATTGACCACCTCTCACATCTTCAAACAGGCTAGGCATGCCCCTGCCTCTGGGTCCTTGTAATTGCTGTGTCTTCTACCTGGAATGCTCTACCTACAAGATTTATGCAGGACAGTTCTCCAAAAGGCCTTGGACTGACCAGGTTTTCATCCCTTTCTTGCGTGTAGCTCTCAACAGCAACTGTATGCTGGTCTGGTAATGTAACTTACTGGTAAAGAGAGACTGGCTAGAAGAACATGGGCTATGTTTCAGTCTCACCAGAACAGAATGTCCTTCAATGCTTTAGCACAGTAAGTCATGTGACCCCAGGATATAACGCCCAGGACAGGCTGCTTTCCAGGGTCCGTTATTTGCTATCCAAGTAGGTTACATGAATTTGAGGCTCCATCCACCCTAGGCAACTTTCTAAGACTTGGGGGAGCAGCTCGCAATGAATCCTAGGCATCTGATGTTTCTTACTGCCTATCTGTAAGTAATAAATCCATTTCACATAACTTGCATATGAGTATGTTCTGTCATATAAGTTGGTAACCAGTGCATAGTGAGCTTGCTTCAGAAGTGCAGAGCATGTTTCCTTCCCAATTAATGTCTTTACTCAGGTATAACTCTCTCTGTGAGACCTTCTCTGAATATCCTGTCTAAATTTCATTTCTACCTCCCCCACACCAACACTCCCTATCTTCTTTCCTGACATTATGTTCCCTTTACCAACACCTAACCTATATTGGATATTTTATAGATTTATCTTGTTTATTTTTACTATCTTGCTTATTGTCTGTCTCAATCACTCACTAAAATATTAAGTGCCATAGAAACAGGGATATTTTCTTTTTTATTTTCTACTCCATGCCTAGAACAGTGTCTGGCACACAGTGGGTCAACAATAAATATTTGGTGAATGAATTAACAAATTGTCTTCTCTAAGCTACTCTTCTATTTTTTTTTCTCCCTAATCCTATACTAATACTAGTCCTAACCATTTTCTTTCTCTTACTTTTATTTTGGTTCAAGGGTACATAAGCAGGTTTGTTACGTGGGTAAATTGTGTTCCTGAGGATTCGTGTATAAATGATCCTGTCACCAAGATAGTAACCATAGTACCTGATAGGTAGCCTTCCAAACCATAGTTCCCTCCCATCCTTCCTCTTAAAGCAGTCTTCAGTATCTGTTGTTTCCATATATATGTCCATGTGTATTCAGTGTTTAGCTCCCACTTATAAACAACAACATGTGGTAATTGGCTTTCTGTTCCTGCACTAGTTCACTGAGGATAATGGTTTTGAGCTTGATCCACGTTGCAGCAAAGGACATGATTTTATTCTTTTTTATGGCTGTGTAGTATTTCATAGTGTATATGTACCACATTTTCTTTATCCAGTCCACCACTGATGGTTATCTTGATTGATTCCATGTATTTGTTATTGTGAACAGCACTGTGATGTACTTATAAGGGCATATGTCTTTTTTATAGATTGAGTGCTTTTCCTTTGGCCATGCACTCAGTAGTGGGATTCATGTCTGTTCATATTATTTGCCCATTTTTAATGGGGTTGTCTTTTGCTTGCTGATTTGTTCAAGTTCTTTACACATTCTGGATATTAGACTTTTGTTAGATACATAGTTTACAAATATCTTCCCCAATTCTGTAGGTTATGTGTTTACTCTGCTGATAGTTTCCTTTGCTGTGCAAAAGCCCTTTGTTTAATTAGATCCTATGTGTCAATTTTTCTTTTTGTTGCAGTTGCTTTGGGAAATTTAGTCATAAATTCTTCGCTAAGGCTAATGTTCAGAATGGTATTTCTTAGGATTTATTCTAGGGTTTATAGTATTAGGTCTTACATTTAAGTCTTTAATCCATCTTGAGTTAATTTTTGCATATGGTGAATGGTAGGAGTCCAATTTCAATCTTCTGCATATGACTAGC